TCGGGAAGTAGAAAAATATTCTATTTATTTTGTATGAAAAGAAAGCCCTGAATGACTGAAAGAGACTTTCAAAAGATCCCTATATTTATTCCAGGGATTGGAAACACAGATGTTAGAGAAAGTAGACAGGTAAAGAAAAACAAGCTATACACAAGAGAAAAAGAAAGGAGACCATGATGAACCAAATAAGACACGGAGCAACTCAACGGAAACGTTCGACATGGCTCAGCCACTTGTCTTAAAAAATATGTCAATTGTTAATTTTTCAATGTTTTTTAAAAAGCCAGAAAAACTGGTTACATTTTTCTCCTAATTTCTAAATATTGCTTTTACTCTTATTTTTCAAGCTAGCAAAAAAAAAACAAAAACAAAAAAAACACATATCAACTGACTGCATATGGCCTGAAACATGCCAGTTAGACCTTCCAATACCCTCACTCAAAAAGCATTACCAAACCCTGACCACTAAAGATACTGGTCAATCTCCTCTGTTTAAATTTCCTGTTTAGGAAATATAAACTGATCTCAAAAATCTACATCACATTTAATAAAATATTTTAGAATATCCTTATGAGGCTTAATTGGTATAAATTCTGCTAYAATTCAGCCCATTTTCTTTCAGACATTTCTGTGTTAACATTTTCAGACATAACACAATCTAATTGTGCTAGAAAGCACAGGACTATAAATACTCTAGGAAAAATAAAGCTTTGTCTTGGATTATAATAAATACCACTCCACTTATTTCTATTTTAATTGAAGTCTATTCATGTTCATTGCTCATTCTAAATTTTTCTAGTAACTGGGTTTATTATAGTTTCCTAAAGGATGAGAACTAAACAATGAATAAACAAATTACTATACTTGTAATATATATTTATTATAATAATAAATATATTATTATACTTCTAGAAATCTCTAAATCAATTTTACCTCAGGTTTCCAAAATGTATACTGACCAATCTTGCAAACTTAGGTAAAAAATATGATCTTGCTAAACTATAGTCACAATACTTAGTGATAATGACAATTCTAATGTAAAAACATCTGTTTACTACATAGAATTCTCTCATACCTTGACATTTTTTCTTACCCAATATATTAAAAATATGTTTTATTAACCTTGTCACTTTAAAAGTAATTTAATGAGAAAAAAATAAAATTGGGATTTCTAAGACACTATTGCTAAATCAATGCAAAATATGTTTTTCTAAATATTCTTTCAGGCCTGGGAGTAGCAGAAGGCCCTGAGTCGAATCCACAGTATAAAAAAAAAAAAAAAAGAAAAAGAAAAAGAAAAAGAAAAAAAATCCTCAAACAGGGACTCTTAAACCTACGAGGACAGTTATTTGCTAATAAGGTATGTGGATGTCACATAACAGAAAAAGCTCAATTAAAATACACAGCAATGTGCATGGTCATTTTCTCGAATGATAAATATGAAATCTTTCATATTTATCTAGGAAAGGATCACCAAGTTGGGTAAAATAACATTTAATTTTCCATTCTTTCTTCTTTAACCTTATTAATGTAGATTTGTCCATGATGAATTTCTGACATGTTCAGAAAATAGATATTAAAATATGCAGATACAGAGATCACTATTAAACATAAGATCATAAATCATCTAATTAGCACAAAGTTGTTTCATGAATCACTCTTCTAGCTGTTTAAACAAGAAAGGTATATTTCAAACAGCTATAAAAAAATTATCACTAATGATGTTTTAAAAAGGTGTTTTATTAGTGAAAGTTGTGAATTACAATGCTGATATTGGGAATGCTTATAACATATTATATTTTGGAATCACAGGATTAGAAGACAAACTTAATCTTATGTATAATCAGGATACCAAAGACTATATAATAGAAGGAATGAGTATTTCACATCTCCTATAACATTTTAGGCACAAGTTTCTGACTCATGATAGTTACTAGAAATGCATTAACTATAGAAGCACACATATAATCCTTGATAATTTCTCTACATAGGTAYGTAATTTAAAGTATAAAGGGTTTTTTTGAAGTTTTCACTTAAGCACAAAGTTCACTAATTAAAAAGTTGCTGGCAAATTTTCCTGTAAAACAAAGAAAAAAAGCACAATTCAATAAATATGATTGTATTCCTCCCAAATCAAATCAAAAATTATATCAGATGAGAAGGCTACAAAAGTAATCCTCTGCATTAGGGACTATTAGAATCATTAGAGTGTGTAGGTATTTTTAAAAACAACAAAGCACCATTATTCTCAATGAAGTGCAAATTAACTATGCTCTAACTCTGTACTCTCAATCCTGATTGAATATTAGAAATATCTAGAGGGTGTTTGTTTTTTCTTTAAAAAAAAAAAAAAAAAAAAAGTCCAGGCTCTTCCACTCCCCTTTTCTTGCCAAGACCCCAAGGGGATTTTGATTCATTTGTGATAATGCTCAAGTGTCAGTGTTGTTTTGTTTTGTTTTGTTTTGTTTTAAGTGGCCCCCAGCTGATTCTGGTGCATCCAGATTTGAAACCAGTGCTGTTTGTTTTTTAGGGGGCCAGTCTGAGTGTAAAAATTGACACAACACATAGATACACAAAGAAAAAAGTGCACTCACTTTTTTTCCCCTCCCATAGATCTCAAATATTTGCTGCCATTCTTAAAAGAAAAGAAGAAAAGTTTGGATTTTTTAAAGAATGTGTATTGTTCAAGTAGGAAAAAAATACAGAAAGCAGAGCTAGGTTAAGCAGTCCCCTGAGACAAATCCTAACTAGGGCTGCACTAGTTTCTCCCCAAATTACTGCATTTTTCCTATTTTGTTATACTACCTGAAATTACATCATTGGTTGACCCAATTAACTTTAAAACAATCTGATTACAAAAATACTTTAAAAGCCCAGAAATTTCAGCTTCCCCTATAAGCCTATTTAATGAGATTATTTTTCTTGCTAATAATAAGACATCACATGGACTTAAGAAATCAATATTCTGATAGTGAGATGGAAAGAAAAATTCTGACATATGACCTTGAAAATAAGATATACCTTGACTCAAGAACATTAAGCATTCAAGTAGACTTAGGTTTTTGAAAAGAAAAATAGAAATACAAGCCCCTGGAATAACTGATCTACAAGATGCCATCCAATTTTGAGATTGTAAGATTCTACAATGAAGTCAAGGGCATCATCCTCTGTTCTTTGCCTGCATAAGAGAGTTCCTTCCTCCTAAGACACAGATCTCAGGCCAACACCATTAACACATTCTGATTTTTACTATCTTTACTTTTAATATCACAATCTACTTTTAAGTTTATAAATTTTACTTTTAAAACTACAAACAAGCTATAATTTAGAGTCTGCCTGGATCTTTTCAGGCATGCCACAAATAAATCCCTTAACTATTAACTGTTTCATTCAGAAAGTATTTATTTAATCTAACAAATTGTTGAAGAAAAGTAAATTACAAAAGTCATTAGACCTCTTAGAGCACCTGCAATGATTCAATTCTAATTTGAAAAAAAAAAAAAACATTTTAAAATTGATACAGCTAAAGCAATATGTAAAGGCAAGTGTGTAGCCTTAAATGTTTACACTAAAAAAAGAACAAAACTACAAATTAATGAGCTAAGGATTCATTGCAATAAAAGGTTAAAAGATTTCTCAAGAAAAAAACGAAGAGCTAAAATTAGGAAAGCAAAAAATAAACACATGATAGGAGAGGGAAGCTGATTCTTTGAGAAGACTACAAAATTAATAAACCTCTACTATGCATGACAAATCAAGAGCAAAGGAGGAAAGGCACCAAGGAAAAACAATTAAAAGGGGAATTAACTACATATACTGGAAATATTAAAAGGTAACATCATATGGATGAAAAYCTTCATGTACATGAGCTTGAATATCTATTGAAATGAACAAATTTCAATAATATCATCCTAGAAAAGGCTGACTTAGTAAAACATGGATTTTTAAAACAAATACATGTAAGCTCAAAACCAAAAATAAACCCAAAATTTAATGCCTGACGTGCATTTGTGTGAGGTAAAATATCATTACATTAACTTACAAACATTAATAACCCAACTTGTATTTGAGAGAGTTCCAATTTTTCTACATCCCATTGTCTACATTGATTTATTAATCAAGAGATAACCAATTAAAGCTGAGGGAAGCTGAGGCAGCTGAGGATCACAAATGCATGTCCAGCTTGGGCAATTTAGCAAGACCCTGTCTCAAAAGAAAAAAAGGGGGGGGGGGCTAAGGATGTAACTCAGTAGAACACTTGTCCAGCATGCATGCGGCCCTGGGTTCAATCCCCAATACTGCCAAATAATACTTATAACAACAACAACAAAGGCACTWGGAGGCAGATTTTTAAATTGAGAGGTTTAACGGAAATTATATGAGAGAAAACACAGATCTCTAAAAATGTTCAAGATCTTAAAATCTTTTCAGTTTTTAAAAGTCCTTGAAGACCTACAGCAAATGCACAATTTTTGTCTACTGCTTCCAAAGGCAGAGCCCTCTACCTCTTCAATGGCATTTTTAATCCTGACATGCACCACAGGCATTTCCATGTGTGTCCTCCTCTTTCTATACCAGAGAAAGCTACCTTCCATCAGTAAGTATTCCCTTGCAGTGCTCAGAGTGGTTAATAGGTCAAAGACTGGAATAACAGATCAGCAAGGTAAAAGGATCTCAAGGATCACTGCTATTAAGTATAGTGACAGGAACCCCTTGAAATAGAACTGTTCTTAAAAGAATAAAGATAATTTTCAATTAATGTTACGGTGTGGCTCAGGWGAGAAAATGAAAAATTAGGATATGTTGGTTGTGGCATTAAAAACATAGAGGAGGAAGAGGTTTTAGGAAATTAGTAAATAAGAAATGATAAATTCGGCAACCGGTCAAATAAAAACTACTTTAACAATTATAATCAAATGAATATTCTTTCACTATTTATCGTAACCTTTTCCGGGTCAATCAATGGTTTATTTACTTAAAAAACTTAAAAGCAATTTTACTTGTGAAAATTTTCATCAGTTTCCTCCAGACGTAAGAGGATTTTCTGGGCGCACTCCGGGGAGGGCGCGCCCGTGATTTTCTCCTTCACGCTCTGGAACAACTGCCTCAGCATCGCCTGCAGCATGGCCTCGTCCTCGCAGGAGAAGTAGGCCATCCTCTGTAGGAATCAAAAGTCCATTCCCATTACTCCGGGTTCAAGCAAACACAAGCATGACGCACGCGCGCCCCCACCCAATCCCGGCCTAGCGCACCATCGTTGCCTAGGAGACCGCGGCCAGCGCATGGGGGTGGTCCCTCCACCAGGCGTTGTCCCGTACAAGTCACCTTACTCTGCAGAGGCTCGGGTTTGCGAGGCCCTCCTCGGACTCTCGTCGTGGCTAGGCTTCGGTACCAGCGGAGCTCAGCCTCCCCGAACGAACAGCAGCAAAGACACGCAAGCAGGCTCTCACTGGAGGGCCTGACGGAGGAACGCCAGCGCTGCGCGTGACGTCAGGTCGTTGACGTAGCTTCCTTGGTGAGGGGTTTACCTGAAGACTGAAAGGGCACGTAGGGAAGGAAGGGTTGATTTGGGCTGCGCGTCTTCTCAGTAAGCTGGTCGTCGTGGGCGAGAGGAAAAAGAGTAGAAGAGCTTTTGGTCGGTGAAAGAAAAATAATAGAAGTGAAACTGAAAGTAGCCTGGAAATTTTAGGTCGAAAAGGGAATGAATGGTGTTGAAATGTTGCTGTGCAGTTTTATTGCAGCACTTAAAACCTGTTGAGCTCCTACCCCTTACGAAAGTACGTGGTTTAGGAAATACAGAGAAGACAACGCCTTCATAATTTAACAGAAGAGATTAAGGATTGCCATACAATAAAAGTCGATGTCATGCTGTAGAAATAACGCCATGTAGTTACTATGGAAACCCAGAATTAGGTTTTAACTCGGTAAAGAAGTTGAGGGAAAAAAGGAAGAGAGAAAAAATTGGACTTGGAATGTAGAGTGGCCTCAGAGTGTGTGATATTCAGGTATCTGAAGTAATAGAGTCAGAAAGGAACTGAGGCTACAGGAGTAAATTGTCCACGTCTGAAAGGGTTATATTTGACAAGTTAAAGTATCAGGAGTTTATCCTGCAAGTAGTAGGACACAATTGGATTCTAGAGAGACACCAAGAGATAACATTTATAAAGAACACTTCAGAAAGCTTCCTCCTAAGGGAGAATAACACTGTTCAAATTGAGAATTGCTAAAGGATATGCCTTAGGAAGAAGGAAAATAACCTTTAAAGAATATTTGAGATATAATAAGGATGGCACAGGAGAGGGGCATTAGGCAAATATGTGGTATCCATAAAATAATAATTATTCTAATTTGTGAAGGTTCAAAATGCATAGTACTAAAATACTGGAAACAACTATAGAAAGTGGAGTAAGTCAAARTGTTCTACGATCTTCTTTTTCTAAAGGGAGTTTAAGATGTTAAACTTGATTCAGTAGCCATGAATCAAGATTTCCAGTGATTTGAAGGTTAGAAAAAGAGAATTTAAATTTTAAAAATCGGGAAGATGAAATAATGAGGAAAAAGAAGACCAATTTATAAAACGAAGTTAAGAAAATAGAAGCAGAAGAAAAGTAGAAAAAAATGACATTATACAAAGAAACATTATAGAAAAAAAAGAGAGCACTAATAAATTTATCTCAGCCCTCCACTTAAAAGCCCAGAACTGTCAGATTAACATTTAAAATAGCCAACTATGCTTTTTTTCACAATTCTGAAAGTCTGAAAAAGTAAGAAAAACGGAAACATAAAACAAGATAAATAGTATCAAAAGGAAGCTATATTTGTGTCATCAAAAATAAAGTTTAAGCAAAAGAGAGATTAGGAATATTGAGTGTCATTGCAGAATTTTTTAATTTTTGATTCTACAGGAAGACACAGCAATTTTGAATTTAAAGTAAGTAGAATTCTTAATCTCTCCAAGCCTTTACTATTTTCCGAAGAAGGTTATGTGTGTTCTTATGTGTCTTTGAATATACTATCCATGGGACAACTGGAGCACCATTCCAGCATCAAAACTCCTGCTGTGATCGGCTGAACTTTGGTTTCAAAGCAGTACAGTTGAAATTTTCCTTATGAGTTTCCCAGACTCTTCTTTGATATTGTTCCCAAGGGTACACCCAGTAAATATGTTGCATACAATCTAAGATCATCAGAGTCTGTTTCCAAAAGAATGCTATCTGTAACAGAAACTGATTGGGTCAATTAGACTATTCCAATATCTAATATGTGGTGCTCATAATAGGATGTTTCTTATCATGGCATAGACCACTGGTCTTCCTTCTGTCTGTTTTATACATGGTGGACTTTTGCCAAGGCAGTAGATTTTGTTCCAAATAAATACGGCCATGTTATCAGGGTCAATGACCTAAACATGTTTTGTGTGTGTGTGTGTTTTAATTTAAAAAGAAAATAGCTGTTGCCATGGTACTTGGGACTCTGAGACATACAGTGACCTATCACATGTAAATATTATCAAAGGTCTTGATTGTGGGAGAAGTGCTCAATAATTGTTGGATATTATTAATATTGTTGCCCATTTCTACAATTTTGAATTGGAATTTTCATAGAACTTACACAGGTCCAACTTTCACAAACTAATAAGAGAACCATTTCAAATTTTCCAAGTGTTGAAATTGGCTCTTTTTCCTTTCTAGGCAATAAATCAAAGTGAAATTAAGGAGGATATAAACTGCCAACATCTGCAATTAAAGCCTTCTTTATCCTTGTGATCCCATTTTAGAATGGCATTTGCTTTTTCCCGAGGGGTAGTCTCATTTGATTAAGACACCAAAGACTTATTAATGAAAAATTCCTATGAAAGTCTAACAGAGTTTGGCAATTTACCCAAAATATAAGTGCTGGGCTCAGAAAGTGTCCCAGTGTCTGAGAAAAGATTATGAATTCCTGCCTTTCCTTATGTATAGGGTTCACTTACTGATGCCAGCTAATTTGTTGTCCAAAGCAGTTTTCTGAATTAGCTTCTAAGATAATGTCGAATCCTGATCCTGCTCTTATCACAATGCCAGCAAGACAACTATATCATTGTTCTGAAGATAAGTCTATAATACACTCACTCTTATGTTCTTATTCTTATGCAACTGTGAGGTTACTTGTTACCCAGTGTGAAGGGTTATCCTGCACACTATATATAACAACCTTCTTTTAAAAAAACAGAGTTTTTAAGTACTTTACATTTCTCTGATTTGAGGCCATGTTATCAGCCCACAACTAGAAGTCTTTTCATATAATAATTTTAGATGAGCTGTTTTAGATCTTATTTCTATGGACATATTGTATATGCTAACTCATTAAACTAATAGTAATAGAATAACATGTATTTTCAGACTTGGTCTCAAATATCAAGTTCACTTATATCTTGTATTAGTTTAGATTACAATCTAAGCTGCTGTTACAATTCAGAGGCCAAAAAAAGATATTTATTTACCTCTTATGAAAGGGTCCCAGAGCACTTCAGAACTGACCCTCCAATAAAAATACTATTTCTGTGCTACAGAAGAACTATGGAATTTGAGAACATGGGGCAATATCCAAATTCAGGGATAGGAAGCCTAAGTCTGGAAGCTTTTATGATCAGCACACATGCCCATCAAATTCTATAAAGGTATTTATTGGATAGTAAAATAAGGCCACGATCTCCCCTGAAATTGTTTCCAAAAACAGGAAGCTGAAGATAGGAGTATGGAATGCTATTTCATAAAATGTGCCATTTCTGTGTCCATGTTTGTCATCATGTACATGACCAAGAGAAGACTAAGGTTTGTAACTTCCAAATTGTCTATCTGTGCTTAATTTGCAGAACGAAATTTACATCCAGAAAACTAATCACAAGGAAGTCTGAATTAACTACAAGGAATGTCATTGATATACCCCCATCCTTTACAGAACAGATTCGACACAGTGAAAAAGTAAATTTGAAGAGAGAGCCATTCTGCAGTTACCACCATTGTGGCAAATAGCACCACATATTCTACGAAAATAAATTCATGAATTAGGCAAAGTGGCACATACCTGTAGTCCTAATGGCTTGGGAGGCTGAGAGAGGAAGATCCCAAGTTGAAAGACAGCCTCAGCAACCTAGACCCTTTCTCAAAACAAAACCATTAAAAAAAAAARCTGGAGATGTGGTTCAATGTAGAGTATCTCTGAATTCAGTGCCCAGTACTACAAAAAAAAAAAGAAGTAAATAAATTGATCATCCATAGCTGAACTAGAACTCAAATTTAAACTCTCACAGCTGACTAACTACTGAATTTTCTTTCTGCTCATTCAACAGCCAGATTCAGTCCATGAGTCATAAGCTTTCACCTTTGATATTAATCTTTTTTTCTCACATACCTATAACTACCCATTTGAAAAAAATTATTTTAAACAATAAATTACATAATTCATGGGTTATTCATAATATTTCTTTATTTGATTTTTGTGATCAGCATATAATTTCGTATTCATAGACATGTTTAGAACCAAGAAATATTAAACTAATGGAATAAAAACAAGGTCAACCAGTACAGCTATAAAGATCACTTTTCTGTCAATAAAAAGTATTTCTTTCAATAAACATAATCCCATGAGAAAGAAATATTGAAATTCAAAACAAAACAAATTGCAACTTATTTGTGCATAGCACTGTTTATACTTTTATATCACAAGTAATAAGAATATATTTAAAGTGTTTCATTTGGTAAATTTAATATGTATGCACATAAAAAAAGCATTCCTCATTCAAGGTGATGGATATACTGATCACCCCAAAAGTTTCTTGTAATCCTATTATAATTCATTTTCATCCCTCCTTTTTCCTAGCCTCAGTCAACCACTAGTCTACTTATGTCACTGTGTTACTTTGCATTTTCTAATATGTATAAAAGGAATCATATAGTATGTACTCTTTTGTATTGCTACTWTTGTTTAAATAATCATTATATGGTTTATCTGTGTTGTGTGTGTCCACTTGACACTGTCATGAACCAAAGATCTGACAAGAACAACATAGAGAAGGGAAATTTATTTTGGCTCACAGTTCCAGAGGTTTATCCCATGGTCAGTTAAGTCCATTGTTTTGGGCCCAAGATGAGGTGGAACATCATGGAATAATGATATGATGAAGGAAACCTCCTCAGCATATGGCATCCAGGAAGCACAGGATGGGGACAGGGCCACAGGGAAGGTATACCTTTCTTGGGCATATCCCCCCATTACCTGCATTCTCTAGCCATGGCCAGCCTGCCTACATTACCACCCAGTTAATTCAAACTATGATGGACTGATTAAATCACAGCTGTCACAATCCAATCATTTTACCACAAACATTCCTGCAATGACACAGGAGATTTTGCAGGACAAAACATAATGTTGTGTATCAATAGTTCTTTCTGTTGTATTGCTTAATAG